AAATTTAAAGCTCAAATAAAGTCGTTATCTTATTGCTTGGAATCTTGTAATAAAAGAAAAAAAGAGTTTCATATCTTTATATTTCCTAAAGGCTTAGAAAGCCAATAAGGGGACATTTCAATTAATTATTTACAAGTCATAGACAAAAGTTGGTGTATGTAAGCGAGTGTTTCCAAAAATGGAAAGAGGTGGGCGTGAGCACAATGTTTGAGTCAGCAAATCTAGCAATGTCTCGGCAAATAGAAAAGATAGGAGGCTATTATTTTATATTCTAGCTTGTCAATATAGATAATTTGAGTTCGTAATTCATAAGGAATTATAGACTTCGTGTTTGGACATCACAAACATCTAATTTGAACCAATGTTTTTTTTAATATTTACTTTTAAATTAAGGAATTAACTAATGTATAATACTAAAACTTGAATTGTAATGTACAATTTGATACCAAACATATTGATATAAATTCATAAAATAGTAGTTAAATAAAAGTTTGAATGCGAGTCAAGAAACATGATGACATGACTTTTGATCTGTGATCCGTGCCAGTAGGGTTAAGATTATAAAGGGAATTGATAGTGTTGATGCATCATCTTTTTTGACACTTAACAGTGAGAATAGTAGGACTATGGGATGCAAATGCAGATTTTGGCAGGGTAGGAGACATCTTCAGTTAAAACCATTTTATTTTTCTAACAGGGTGGTTGGCATTTGGAATGGGTTGTCTTCGAATGTTGTGGAGGCAGTAAATTTAAATGAGTTTAAGAGAAAGCTTGATAAATACATGCATGATAAGGGCTGGCTTTAAGATTTTTTTAAAATTTATTTATTAATAGTTTTAGTTTAATTTAGAGGATGGAACAGCCGAGATGGACCAATAGGTCCCATGTTGTCTGAAAACGTTATGTTATTTCAAAATGTGACATGTAGAGTAAAAATGCCGATTTGCTATATGTTCTTGAGTGGCTCTTAGCATGATTGAAATGCTCAACAATTACTTTTTGCAATGGGTGGTATAAATAGCTCACAGCTTTGGGTGTTGATAAACCAAGAGTGCAACACAATTAACCTTTTTAAAGTCCATGAAATATTTTAAATTGATACATTAACTTAAACTTTTCCCATCACTGGGGATGGGTACTTTTGCTAGATTAACTTAAACTTGTCCCATAACTGTGGATAGGTACTATTGCTTGTAATGATTTAGAAAAGTTTCATATGGATTTTTAGGTGCTACTAATATTAAGAATTATGCTTACTTATAGTATAATTAGTATTTCTTCAATAGCTAAAAATTAATTTGTGGTGTACAAAAGAAACCTGGAAAATTCTGTTGTACTGAAAAATATTTATTTATGGCTGATAGATAAGAATTTTATTTATTTCCAGTGTTCATCGTTGTCATTTTTTTAATGACTGATAACATTTCTTCTCTTCTTTTTTCCTCCTATAATTTTTCTTTTACATTTTATTGGTTAAATTTATATAATACAAATTATTAGTTGTGTTGAGAAAGATTTTGACTGATTAGTACAAGAATTTCAATGTCTGTGAAGGTTAAAATCTTTTATCACATTTTCAACAGGAATGTGATTTTGGATCCTCTTTTGGCTGATGTTGCTTTAAAGAAGGGAGAAGGAAATGTGACATTGTTAAGTTGGGAGGATCTTATATGCAGGTAATGTCTAGAGAGTATGAGATTTATGTTGATGCTGTTCAGATTTGATATGTTATTAATGAACCACATCTCTTCCTTGTTTAACAGTAATGCCATACACATTCTTCAGAACAGTTTAGTCTTTTTCTAAATTCCAGTATTGTAGATTACATAATTTGTAAAAATTGTGTGTGCACGCACACACACACACACATACTTTATTGAAATGGACCATACAAGTTTTATATAGGAGCTAATATTAAGCTTTGTTATTAATATATACATCATGAACCCGGGGAATGTGGCATTTTTTGTACTGTTATAAAAAATTTTGTGTGTTTGCCACATTATTTAGACCAGTGACAGACCCCCATCACCCAGATTAAAGTAATAAAATTTTCACTTTAAAATGTTACTTATGGGGAAGTTAACTTCTAAATGTAAGCATCCGAAATGCACTTTGTGCATAAAATGCAGTCACTGTGTATGTTCTTATGATGGTTTGTCACCAAATGCAATGTTTCATTGTAATCGTGGGGGTGAGCAACCAATTGCAAGTGAAGCACTGATTACACTCTGAACAAGAGGAGTTAGAAAGGTAATGATTTTAATGAGAATGAGATTGACTTTCAGGATTGTAGTGATTATAATGAATATCAGGATAATGTTGATGAGGGTGTGATTGAATCTCGAATTTTGTCTCATGCTCATGATGAAGTTCAGGATGACCTTGATGTAAGTTCCACTCCTGTTTCTTGGAAATGGCACAGAAGACAGAAATGGAAAGCTCTAATCGAAGCCACTGACACTATTGGTATTTGTAATTACTTTGGTTTAGATTCTAGCTCAATGAATAACCTACCTGGCACAGAAGTATGCCGATAGATTGGACTTCCCATCGGAGACTGAAATTTGTTAATGTGTCATTGCCTTAGTAACATAGTACAAGATGCATGGGTCAATTCAGACTGTTCACAAGGGTGTTCAGAATCCCTTTAGAAGCACTTTGGTAAACATAGTTGCCAAATCAGAATTCACAATTACACTTATAATGGCTTTGGCAAAATTCAACATCATTCATATGTGTGACAAGGAAATTGCCATGTCATGATATAAAAAGACTGTTTAGTTTAGATATAATTGATTAACTTATTTTGTGATTAAATATCTTATGATTGTTTAGTTTTTGTTATAATAAGAGTTAAAAGCAGACGATTGTTGGAAGTTGTGTTTATAATTCATTGATGTTGAGACTATCAATTGTTGCGTGCAATACAATGACTTCGAGAATATACAGATTTCTAGAAGGCGGGCAGACAATTAAGTGATAAACATATAGATATTGTGAGATGAGCAGAAACAACAGACAGATAGACAATAGCAAAAGAGAGTAAAGCTATGGCCAAGGAAAAGTTTGGTGTGAAACTAACTACTGTAGAAGTGATGGGCATAACGATTAACATAGGCCTAACATTTAATATGTTAGAGTAAGACTAACAGTAGAAAAGAAGATAAGAAGAAGAATTTATTCCATCAAAGCGTGGTTCTAAAGTACTTGAATCAGCCTGAGTGCCTGAGTACACTTTGACAAAAGGAACAGAGGATATTTTGAAGAAAGTAAACCAACCATTTACCGGAAGAGTAATATACAACAGCAGTAACTCACACCACAATTGTAAGTGATTCACACAGAATACTAGTGAGGTAATAACAGAGGAGGTAGTTGGCTTGTCAACTGAAATTCTAAATCAATTGAATAGGCCTAAATGGACTTTTATCAAAAAGAAGAGAACTATATATATATAGTTTTTATGATATGCCTATAATCTCTATAGTATGATGAATTTGTTGTACGTATATTTAACTTTTTCCGAATATATATATATATTATTTTGAAAACAAGTGAAGTTCATAATGTTCATTTATCATTGAATTTATCTCCAACAATCACAGACAACTATTGGAGAAGAATCCTAAGCCCAACAACAACAAAGTATATAGTTATACTATTAAGAAATATAAGTAAAAACCTTTATTTTGGCAATTGGTGAGCCACAGCCATGATTATAGTGGTAAATGTCGATAGAAGAAAACTTGACAGACAGCTGAAACATGTAGGTCTATGTACACACAACAGTAGTAGTAACGAAAATAGTGTAGAGATTACAAATATGCTATACAACCATGTCGGGTAATTTGATAAATGGATGTAAAGAGGACCTCAACTTGGGTTAAATAACAGTGAACTGAGAGAGTTTGTTAAACAACAAGAACTAGAGAGAGAAGAATGGCAACAGAAGAAACAAATTAAGAAAGAAGAAAATGAGAGAAAGGAGAGACTGGAAATAGAATGAAAATGCAAATAGAGAAAGGATAAACTAGAAATAGAGAGAATGAGAATACAAATTTAGAAAAAAGAGACAAGAGAGACTAGAAATAGAGATAATAAGAGCACAAATTGAGATTACAAAACTCACCCAACTGAAGGAAGAAGGACACAAGAATGACAATGGAGTCAGGGCCACCTGATCTAAGCTGCCCAAATTTGATGAACAAAAAGATCACATGGATGCTTTCCTAGAGAGATATGAAAGATTTACCCAAAGTCAGAAATGGGACAAAGGTCACTGGGCAGTCTGTCTCAGCCCACTTCTCACAGGAAAAGGCCTACAAGTATAGTATATGCAGGCATGATGTCAGAAGATGCCATGGACTATGACAAGTTAAAAGTGGCTTTACTGAAATGATATGAACTTGCTGAAGAAGGTTTTCCCCTGAAGTTCAGAGAAATCACACCTTACACTGGAGAAACTGTATTTCATTTTGTGGCAAGTCTATGGTGATACTTCACAAAATGGGCTGACATGGCCAAATGTGGCAATAGTTTCAGGGACTGGCATGAACAATTCATGACTATGTATTCAACTGACATGTCACTGTTTTTAAAGGATGTTTTTAAAAGATGTAGACAAGATGATCAAGCTGGCAGAACAATATATGGAAGCCCATGGAGGTAGTATAACTGGCAAGTCCAAGAATGTCCAGATAAATTTGAAACCATTAATGGCTGACCAGAAGCAGGAGTTTACCAAAGGTGACAGGAGGTTAATAGACAGAAAGAAAAAGAGATGTTTTGTTTGTTATAAAACGGGGCACATTGCAAAAGAGTGCAAGTCCAATAACAGCAAACAACAGCAGAAACCTCAACATAAAGCAGCTGGTACCATTTACAAAGACAGTGATGGTTAGAAACAAGAAAAGAGTGACTGGCATTATAGATCCTGCTGCCAGAAGAAAGAGAATCAAGACTACTTGTCAAATTTTATACAAGAAAATGTGATTGATCAGTGCACCACTAATGGTCGGCTCAAATTAGCAAATGGATCAACAGTGCCAATGGTGATGAAAGCATGTGACAAATATCAAGCGGTGCCAACAAATCATAATATGCCAATATGTGAAGGCTATGTTGGAGATAAGGAAGTGAAGGTTCCACAAGACACTGGGTGCAGTAGTGAGAACCAGTCTAGTATCCGATGGTCAGATGAGAAACAAGGTACACCTGTGTGTGCTAATTGATGGGACAGTGAGAAAGTTTCCCGTAGCAAAAATAAAAGTGGATACTCCATATTATATAGGAGAACCTGAGGCCATGTGTATCAAGGAATCAGTACATGGCTGGTGATAGGAAACATACCAGGTAGTAGAAATTTGGAGGAACTAAACAGAAAAAGAATTCACGAAGCATTTGCTGTCATGACCAGAGCTCAAGAAAAGAAGAGCAAACAAGATATCAAACCTGTGCAAATGTCAATAGGCAATATCCTGAATTTAGGTTTGCAAGAACTGAAGGAAGCACAGAAGAAAGACCCTTCACTGCAGAAACTTTGGGACAATGCCCAGGAGAAAGTTGAACACAAAACAAAAGGGAAAGATACTTATAGAATAGATGACCGGCAGAAAGTTCTATACCAAATCTATTGAGGCAGTTATACTGGGGAAGTTAAACAGATCATAGTACCAACAGAATACCGAACTCAAGTAATGAAGTTGGCTCATGAATCAATTGTGGGAGGACACCTAAGAACAAAGAAAATGGCAGACAGAATCACCAGTAACTTCCATTGGCTGGGAGTCATCTGAGATGTGAGTAGATTCTGGAGGTCATGTAACATCTGCCAAAGGACAGTACCTAGAGGGAAGATAGCCAAAGTACCATTGGGGAGATGCCTCTTATAGAAGAGCCATTCAGCAGAGTAACTGTGGACTTTGATTGTGCCACTAGCACCTGTGTATGAAAAGGGCAATCGGTATGTACTGACAGTAGTCAACTATGTGACACATTAACCGGAAGCAATGGCACTGGTGAAGATAGAGACAGAGAGAGTAGCAGGAGCCCTCCTAGAGATATTTTTCAGAGTAGGCTTTCTGAGAGAAATCCTGAATGACAGAGAAACCCAGTTTACTTCAGAACTGATGCAGGAAGTGTGCAGACTCATCAGCACTGAGCAACTCTTTACCACCCTGTACAATCCTAAATGTAATGAACTTTCTTAAATAGTCAGTGGAGTTTTAAAGAGCATGCTAAAGAAGATGTGCCAAAAGAGACCACATGACTGGGACAGGTACTTATAGGCAGTATTATTTGCTTATCAAGAAGTCCCACAAGCAAGTACATGATTTTCTATCCCTAGAGTTACTGTATTGTAAGAACAGTACAAAGTATGTTGCAAATATTGAAAGAGCTATGGACGGGAGAAGAAGAGTCAGAAGTAAGGAACACATACCAGTATGTGTTAAACCTCATAAACCAACTGGAGGAGACCTGTCAACTTGCTCGACAGAATTTGTATGCAACTCAAGGCAGTCAGAAGCATTTCTTTGACAAGAAGGCCTAGAATCGATGTTTCAAAGTTGGACAAAAGATCTTAGTACTTCTGCTGCTCACAGACCACAACAAACTCACCCTGCAATGGAAAGGACCTTTTGAAGTACAGGAAGTACTCAACAGAATGGACTAC